TGTATGATGTGAGGTACATGCCTTTCAATTTTGGAGTCATTTTGCTAAGGCAAAAAAAAATGAAAAATCGCCAAAGATGGCGGTGTCAAATCGTGTTCGCTTGCTAATTTCAATTCTTTTTTTACTTTTTGTTATTTTCTGTTTTCTATTTTTTTTTTTCCAATTTGGTTACGAATTTAGATGTAATGCTCAGGCAAATGTTGTTTATTTTATTTTTCTTCATAACATAGTTTTTTTTTCGGAATTTTTTGAGGTTTTTTTTTTTTTTTTTTTTTTTTTTTCCCTGCGCGGAATTGAACTCTGCGTTCGGTCCTTTCATTGAACGTGCTTGCATTCCGTTCAATTTCAGAACGGAAAACCCGCGTTCAATGAATGCGCGGTTTCACAGCACGATATGGGCATTTCGAATGGCCGGTCATGCCATTTGGCCTTACAAATGCCCCGACCACTTTCCAAGCAGCTATGACAATGGAGTTCCGACACATGCTGGATTGATACGTACTTATCTATGTCGACGACATCCTGGTGTACAGCCGGAGTTTGGAGGAGCATGTGGAACACCTGCGCACCGTTTTGGAGCGGCTATGACAGGCCAAGTACAAAGCAAACCGCGACAAGTGCGAGTTCGCACAGCAGGAGCTGGAGTACTTGGGACATTATGTGACGCCGCAAGGCATCCGTCCGCTTGCGGACAAGATCGAGGCCCTAAGAGTATGGCTCGAGCCCACCAACACCACGGACGTTCGTTCATTCATGGGATTGGCGGGCTACTATCATCGATTCATCACCGGATACTCAAGGATTGCTGCACCTATGACGAGGTTACGATTGCCAAAGGTGCCATTTGTATTCGATGACGACGCACGCCGGTCATTCCAAGCACTTAAGACGGCCATGCTCATGATACCCGTCCTCAGCATCTATGACCTCACCTTGCCGACAAGAGTGACTACGGACGCTTCCGGCTATGGCATTGGGGCAGTCTTGGAACAGCACGACGGCGACGACTGGCACCCTGTGGAGTATTTCAGCCACAAAGTGCCTCCCATCAACTCACTTGATGATGCAAGGAAGCAGCTACTCGCGTTCGTCATGGCTCTTAAGCGATGGCGGCACTTCCTCCTTGGGCGTCGTAGGTTCACATGGGTTACGGACAACAATCCATTGACCTAATACAAGACGCAGGACACGGTGAGCAGCACGATCGGACGATGGATGTACTTCATCGACCAGTTTGACTTCACACCGAAACATCTTCCCGGCCTCTCAAATCGCGCAGTGGATGCACTCTCGCGAAGACCAGATCTTTGCGCTATGACACATCATGCCTTCGCATTCGACGAGGAGCTTCAGCGACACTTCATCCGGGCATATGAGTCTGATCCGAACTTTGCCACGCTGTACGCACAACTATCTTCAGATCACCTGCCGACCAGCCACTATTGCATTGCCGACGGATACTTGCTCCTCCACTCGAGAGGCAAGGACTTATTGTGTGTCCCACGCGACCGTCATCTTCGGACTCACCTCCTCGGCGAGTATCATGATTCACGACTCGCCGGCCATTTCAGAGTCAACCGCACTATTGCACGGCTTCGACAGCGATTCCGATGGCCCGACCTCATTACCGATGTAACTCGGTATTGCGACTCGTGCGAAGTTTGCCGACGCAGCAAACCCCGCAACCGCAATCCCTAYGGCGAGTTACACCCGATGCCTATCCCACGGGAACCCGGTCTCTCCGTTGCCATGGACGTCACCGGTCCGTTTCCTTGCGACCGGCTCGGGCACGACGGCATCCTCACGGTTGTGGACCGATTGAGTAAGTACGCGCGTTTTCTCCCTTGCGAGTACTACTCCACAGCTCCCGAGCTGGCACGCCTCCTGCACACTGGTTGGATTTGTGGCCACGGTGTACCAGAAGACATTGTCAGCGACCGCGACACTCGTTTCTTGTCGGCGTTTTGGACTGCTCTCATGCAGGAGTCCGGCACAACAATGAAACCAAGTTCGGCTCGGCATCCTCAGACAGACGGGTAGACGGAGCGGGCACATCAAACCGCTCAAATGATGCTTCGTACGCTCATCCGTCCGGACCAGAAAGATTGGGTTGACCGCCTCCCCGACATCGAGTTCGTTTACAACACTTCGGTGCACCCGGTGATCGGCGTGACTCCATTCGAGTTGCACCACGGTGGACGGAAAGGACGTATCTTCGCCGACCTTCTCCTCCCTCGACGAGCCGACATTGACGCTGCCTGCTCTCCCGCTTCCGTCCGGAAGTACAGGGAATTGCTGACTCAAGCCCGTGCAAATATGCAAAAGGCTCAAGTCCACATGCAGCAGCAAGCCAGCAGGCGTCGCGTACCATGTCCCATCCGCGCCGGTGATCTGGTTTGGGTCTCCGCGGAAGAGTTTGCACTGGAACAGGAGGTCTCACGCAAACTGCTTCCCAAGTGGTTTGGACCTTGGTCTGTGACAGCAGCCGCGGGCGATGAGCCCGATGGCCCTTCATTTGTGATCAACATTCCAGAGCATCTGACGGTCCATCCGGTCTTCCACGCCTCGAAGCTGGCAACWTACACGCCAGCCAAGAGCGACGACTTTCCGGGCCGACGATTGCAGGACCCTCCCTCTATGGATGGTCATCAGGAAGTTGACCGCGTCATCTCCGATCGCAAGTACGGCAGCAAGCCGCGGCAGTGTAAAGTCACATTCARAGCATGCGATCGCGACGACACTCGGTGGATWTCAGGCGCAGATTTGAAAGCATCCGCACCGCTGATCTACGCGCATTATGAAAAGCGSAGGTTAGCTCAGGAAGCTTCACGACCAGCCCCTCCCACCCGGACTGTGGTCCCTCCCTCAGACAGACAGCTTCGCCCTCGCAGGTAAGCTCGGTCTTTCAAGGAGGGGGGGGTGTGGCATACTGCATAGCCACACGGGCCCTGCAGGGCCCGTCCCGGACATTCAGCCTAAAAGCCTAAAACTTAGGGCTTACAGGCCCCGGTCGTTTCAGCCTCAAAGCTGAAAAACGAGGGCCTGCAGGCCCTACTCCGTTTCAGCCTATTTCTGGGTCTTTCAGACCCAGAGTTTTTCCAGCCTGAAACGGAGGGCCATTTTCAGGCCCTCATTGTTTCGACCTGCCCCTAAGACTCAGGCACGTAAACAGGGATGSGGAACAGGCCAGAAATAGCCTGTTCCTCACGAGCTCGAGCAGGAGCTGCAGCTGCAGCCCCTGCCTCCTTTCGGCATTGGCAAGAGCAGCCTCCTGAACTGCTCGCACGGCTCAGGAGGCACACCCGGTAGTACATAGGAAGTTCCCATGCACTTCACGGGTAGGTAGTTCAGTAGGCACGAGGTAGTCTTCAGGATATCGGCCGCAGCACTCAGGAGGAGCGCTGCAGTAGTCTTCAGCGCTAGGCAGTAGTATTAGCGCTAGCTGTAGTCTTCGGCGCTGGGCGCCCATAGCTAGAGTAGTCTTCAGCGCTGGGCGCTGGTAGGTGGTAGATCGTAGAGTTGGGAGAGACACTGGCGGAGGCCAGTGGTACTTACCTGTGAYGCCATCGCTCCAGCTCCATCTTCGTGGTACCTGCATCAAGGCGCCAACTTCACAGGTTAGTACTGGACACAGAGAGAGAGAGAGTTCTTCTTCTTCCTCTTCTAAGTCCACCATCTCTTCTCACCCTCTCGCCACCTGAGTTCTCAGACTACGACAGAGAGAGAAAGAGTTGTGACTTGAGACTTGACGACATTGGATCCAGACTGGACATTGGGATTCAGACATTTCGACKAGGGACYATTTGGGCCTGTACCGAGACTTGGTGTTGACGACATTCCCATCTTCCCTCCTCTTTCGTCTAACCCCTCCTTCTTCGTCTGTGTATGGTTGGGGCTGGCGCAGTCTTCTTGTGTGAAGCGCTAGACCCCCTTGACACCAGATAACGATGATGATGAGGTGTGTTCAGGGCTGCATTGCAATATTGATTGTTCGGATCATTCGTATCTAAGTCTTCCGCTGTGTTATCTTGTACTTTGCATTGAGAGGTCGGTTCTTGTTCTGGTCTGCACGTTACAGTATGCAACACTCCATCTATTGGTGGGGAGCTTCATCTGCTGGAAAGCGAGTCCAGTGTCCCATGTACAACAAGGACTGAGAACGTCTGCGAACAGTAACCGCAGGGCCTGCCAGCATTGATTGCCCTGGGACCACCGTAGACGCCTTCTGTTTTTTTGGGCTTCTTTTCGCTTTTGGCCTTTTTGTTGTTCTTACATGTGTATGTCTGCGGGCTCATTGTTCGTTGGGTGCCTGTCATCTCTTTCACGCCATCTGCAAGCTTGGCATGGGCATGGGGGTTTTGTTGTCTCTGATGTTTATCGTAGGGGCAGATGCAATTCCTCGAGCCTTCACGCAGGATCCAGCAGTTCTCAGTGGCATAGCCGTCATCATCCCAGTGAGTACTTTCCCCGCCCCCCTCCCCCCCCCCCCCCCCCCCGCCCCCTTCTTTGTTGCCTATTGCAACCAAACTTCGGCACTCTGTGCCTGCTGGAGGTGTTCTTCCATCGTTTCTCTTGTTAAACGGCCAGTGCATGGCCCCGGCCAAGTAGAGAATCAAGACCGATCAATCCGAAAAGCCGGATAAACAGTATGCTACCTGACCGAAATGGCTGGCGGTGCCAGCCAAAAGAACACAAAAGCGTTGCACTGGCGTTTCGCCAAAGTTTGGCGCACAGTGGGGTTTGAGGCTCGTGAATTCAGGTATTGCTCCCCACCAGTAGATGGAGCCAATAAAAAAATGAGGTCAGTGAGTTTTGCCTTGGATGTACTGGCGATTTAAACCACCAGTTCACATGAACCTAAGTAGTGCTCTTACCGGTATATGCAGTATTACGAAGAGCTTTTCGATTCGGCCTGGGCCGATAGCCAATCGGGCAGGCCGCTTTGAAAAAAATGCAGTTGGAGGCTCGCGAGCCTTCGAAAGTAGCTTTGTCCACTTAGCCTCATGTGAGCTGGCCGTCTAAATCCACCTGTGCACCTGAGCCTGGCGGACACGCACTGTGTGCCAGTCTTTTTTCGTGAATCACCAGCAGCGCACTTTCTTTTTTCCTTTCTTTGCTGGTGCTGCCGGCCATTGTGGTCCCGTAGCCCCGAGCCTCCGAAATTTTAGGACTGAGCCATTCATTTTCTCAAGTTGCCTGGGGCCGTGTACTGGCGGTTTAAACAGCCGCGGCCTGTGGACGTGCCCTGCTGAGCCTAATGTGGCCTGGTTCTGTATCATGGTGGTCACCACCGTGAGGAGTAAGGGGACCCACCCTGGTAGTAGTATTTCTTTTAACGAACACATCTGGTTTAAACAAGCCATATCTGCGAGTCAATCAAACAATAATCAAGGGAGGGAATCCCACAGGAGGGCACTCGGCTCGAGGCCTTTAGTATGGGGAGCGCCACTGCTCTCTACTTCAAGTTTCCCGAGACATTTTTTTTGGTCCGGTAGCCCCTGAACCCCGAAAAGTTGTGGTGAATATATTTCCCCAGCTAGTGGTTTAAACCGCGAGTAGTACACTCGGGCCTGGCGGCCTTCCACTGCGCACCAAGCTCTTCCAAACCGCCAGCGGTGCAGTATTTTTTTTTTGTCTGTGCCGCCAGACATTGCGGTCCGGTAACCCCAAGCCTCCGAAATTTTCGTAGGCGATGAACGATTTCTCCACAAGACTGGGGCCATGTACTGGCAGTTTAAACTGGTCCTTATTGTCTAGGCTCCTTTCCACTCTGGGGAGCATTAGGGGCTCGCTACACAGGCTGTCCAAACAGCTGTCAAAAAAAATTGAATGTCAGCGGTCCACAGTTTACCCCCCCTTCGCCAAACAGGCTGTCGAGGGGCAAGGTATTTGGTCATGGCCTAATGGACTCCGCCTTTCGACAGGTCACGGGTTTCCCTGACAATGCAAATTTGAAGGCAATTCTCGAAAGGCAGGTGGGGCACTGTTGAATTTCCATCTACTGCAGGCAGGCGGGAGGAAACGAATGGGGGAGGGTTGCTGTCAAGCGCACCATTCTGAGTCTTTCTGACACATGTTGAATTTTTTTTGAGCCGCAAAGACCCGCAATTCTTTGAAGGTCTGTGTGGCGATGCAAAATTGTCGAAAACCTGGTTTTCGACAGCCTGTGTGGCGAGCCTCTTGGTCTCCTTCCTTTTCCACTGGCAAGTCAGAGAAATCTTACATAAAAAAACACACAACACACTCTGTGGATCGAGGCCTGGGATCCGCATCTGTGACTGCAAAATTTGAAAACCGTTTCAAAGGGTTCTTCACATTCTGTGTTCTTGTTTTTTTCACTTTAGTTCGGGGTCTAAAAAATTTTATTCATAACATATCTTTTTTTCTTCATAACATATATTTTTTCAGATTTTTTTATTTTCTGTGTTCTTGTTTTTTTTTTTTTTTTTTTTTTTTTTTTTGAATTTGTGTTTTGTCTTGTGGTGACTACACATACCTGCACAGGGACGTTGCCACCTCGATCTCTTTTCTCATTTCGGTTTTCAACTTAGCCCACATCTTATTCAGTGCTTTTTCTGTAATTTATGTTTATTTTCTCCAGTTCGTGGCGGGTACACAAACCCTGAACTCGCTCGCATTTGTCTTTGATGGCATCCACTATGGTGGCTCAGACTTCAAATATGCAGCATACACCACGGTAAGTATAAAAAAAAGGCATGCTGAGATCAGTGAATTATTTATTTATTTATTTATTTATTATTATTATTCTTTTTCCCTCAAGAGTTATTGTACTTTTTCGAGTTTTGACCTCAGGTCTGTTAATCAACAGTTTATCAATGAAATGTATCGAATAATTTGAATTGTATTCCTCTTTTTTTTTTTTTNGGGGGTGGATTTGAACTTTTTCAGATGTTTTTCTACCTTTCCATTTATTCCTTTTTTTTTTCCTTCCCTTTTCTGTTTCTCGTTTTGTCTTTTTCCCCCTCTGTAGAATGGAGCTGCAGAGGGAAGAGAAAGGCACCAAAGTGGTAATCAGTACCGTTGGGCCTAGCTCAGTCCATACACCAATGAACTGTTGAAATACAGACTCGGGCTCCAGTCCAGATGCAACCAGATGATCGTAATAAGATCATTCTGAGCTACCTAGGGCCAGTCAGTTGAGAAGTAACATCTCAAGGCCGTTGCCCTTCTTTAAAAACAAAAAGGAACTGGTTATCAGGATGATCGCAGAATAGGAACAGGGATGGGTTGGAAAAAAGAAAAGAAAAACCGACAGGGAAAAAAAAATCAGGAACGGGTTTGACTAAGAAATAGAGAAGTGGACCAACCGGCCTAGCCCAGTTGGTGCATCCATGAACTGTTGAAATCATGGCAGCCGCGGACAAGTGAACCGGACAAATCTGGACGCCAGAAACCGGATTTCCCGGTTTCATCCAAACGTTCGGATTTCTGGTAATTTCTGGTTAATCCGGACTTGTCCGGATCAACCTGTCCAGATCCCTGTCCGGATGGGTGCATATGTCCAGATTGAACAAAAAAGAAAAAAAGAGTGCACATACAAAGTGCTATACGAAGTACTGCAAATGGATTGAAAACAACGAAAAGGCCATGTGGCATGGGTATGGGCGAGGGGGGGGAGGTCATAGCAAGTACATGACAACAACCAAGACGAGGGGGAGGAGGACGAAGACTTGGAGGAGGAGCGGGAGGAGGGCAAAGACGTGGACGGGGAGGAGCCGGAGGAGGACGAAGAGGAGGAACACGACTATAAAGATCCGGAAAAAAGAACGACAGAAAAAGGGCGCCAAGTGGCATAAGAAGGGAAGGGAGTGGGCGGGGGCTTTAGCCAAGTACATGACGACGACCAAGACGAGGAGGAGGAGGAGCAGGAGGAGGACGAAGACGTTGAGGAGGAGGAGAGGGAAGTGGACGAAGACGTGGAAAGGGGGAGTAGGAGCAGAAAGGAGGAAGACCATGATAATGAAATGGAGAGAGAGAGAGAGAGAGAGAGATGCAGGGACGAGTGAGCCCACTACCAGGCTGCCACGATGCAAGGACGGCATTCAAATGGGCAGAAAACGTAGAAGGAAGAAAACTTCCCACAACCACAAAAAACAAATCCTGGCCCTACGGATGCCCCTTCAGGGCCAAAAAAAATATGCACGTATTTTTGGCTGGTGGCCCTGGGCGTGACGAAACGCCCTGGACCGCTGAAAAAAAAATTGGCCGTTGGCCAAAGGCTCTGGAATCCGGACCAGGATCCGGACATGTTCGCGGACACCGGACACCGGACGGTACGGATCCCTGTCCGGAGGTCCGGATCGCTGCCGTGGTTGAAATACATACCGAAGTTTGAATCCAGATGCAATCAGATGAACAGAATAACAATTGATTCTGAATTACCTGGTCCCAGTCAGTTCAATGATGATAAGGCCGTCACCCGATTGACAGATTGAGAGCTCTTTCTTGATTCTATGGGTGGTGGTGCATGTCCGTTCTTAGTTGATGGAGTGATAAAAAAAAAGAAAAAAGAAAGAAGTGGAGGAGAGCACACTGGAAATGGAAAAAGGAGAGGAATGATTCAAGGATGAGGAAAAGAGAGAGAGAGAGAGAGAGAGAGAGAGAGAGAGAGAGAGAGAGAGAGAGAGAGAGGAGGAGGAGGAGGAGGAGGAGGAGGAGGAAAATGCACCTAGAGGCTAGAACAAGTGGCGAGAGGGAATAATCTGTGCATCAAGATATGAGTTTAAACTTTAAACTTTAAAGATCGAAACTTTGTCCAAGTTGAAATAGCAATAAGGTAAAGAATTATGTGTGATAATCATCCAGATGAAATAGTGACTACACAAGCAATTTTAAATGTGTGCGCATCAGTAATTTGATAACTGCACAGCAAGTGCAAAATTACCCATATGTTGTGTTGGGCAAGGAAATGAGCAATGTGAATGACAATAAACCAGATTTCACCATACCATAGAAATCCAAAAAACTTTGAGCCTGAACGGAAAGCAGATTGCAAACTCAGATAACACCAAATAAGTAAAATTGAAGCATTGAAGTCACATGAACATGAAAGCCCTCTTCTTGCCTCACATCATCAGTGTCAACAATGTAGCTCTTCTACACTGGCGCTTGACTCCGAGCCTCAACACCAGGACTACAAACAGACAGCTCGTTGATATGTAGCTACAACAGGTCCAAACTGAAGATAATGAGCCCGATGACGAGTCAAGACTCCGAGTAGACGCCCCGGTTCTTCTCCACCAGGTAAGTGCCAGGTCACACCGCTCCTCCCCCTGACTTCCTCCACAGTCCTCTACCCAAGGACCACAGCCTTCGTCCTCCGGCTATGGCCGCCAGCAACTTGGCTATGGCTGCTGCACCGCCCAGCAGCTACCTCGTTCCCTGCCAGCACGCTTCTCCTCTGTTCTGGCGTTCATCCGCACAAGCGAGTACTCCAGCAGCGCTGTCGTGTCCAGCCACCCAGAGTGTCCCAAGTGAGGCAGCCTCACTTTCTTTTGTGCAGGCTGCGAGGCTCGCGGCCTGGCTGGACTGGCTACACCCTGTCCCAATACTTGCACCCCGGGCCTCCTCTGGAATGTGCGTGGGGCCTACTGCCTGGGCCCTGAGTCCTAGACCTCAATATCTTCAACCACCCAGGGTTCGGGCCCTACTGGTTGGTTGAAGATGCTGCGCACAGCAGCGTCCCACTGGGTCCTCATTTCTGCTCTTTTAGGCCTGGACGCAGGCCATGCACAATTTTTGCAGGCCAGCCTTCAGTTAGGGTGGGCGAGGCCTCTCTTAAGCATTGTCGAGGGACCCTCGCACTCCCTCCTTCTCCGTTCCGAAAGTCCCTAGAGAAACGTTCAATCCAGTTGCTGTTTTCGCTTCAACTGCCTCTCATACGCAGATGCGACTTTTGGGGCTGTCTTCATCAGCTCCTCGGTGGGCTGTCTACATCAGCTCCTTCGGCGAGCTGTCTACATCAGCTCCTTCGGTGGGCAGTCTACATCGGTTCCTTCGGTGAGCTGTCTACATCAGCTCCTTTGGTGGGCTTCCTCTGAGGGCCTCTCTTAAGCATTGTCGAGGGGCTCATTCTTCGCACTCCCTCCCCTTCCATTTAGAAAGTCCCGAGAGAAACGTTCAATCCACTTGCTGTTTTCCCTTCAACTTTCTCTCATACGCAGATACGACCTGTGGGGCCATCTTCCTCAGCTCCTTCGATGGGCTTCAAATGTATTATCAATCTTCCTTGGGACCCGTATGATGCCTGAAAGCGATCCGGAATTGCATCTGTTGTTTCAGTGGGCTTCCTTTGATGTCAGGCTTCAGGACAGGCATTATTTTATGTTCCACGATGTGACCGATGTCAACATATGTATCCATGGTTGGGGGCAACATTGGCCTCCGCGAAAGGAACTCCTCTGTCTCAACAAAAGTTTGGAGTTTTGAGGCATGGAAGACAGGATAAATACGTAGGTGACGAGGGACTTTGATCACATATGAGGGACCATCACGATCAGAACCCACGATGTCTAGGACGTGCCATGGCGCAAAATATCAAGGTGTCGGTTTGCGAGAGATGTTTACTTCCCGTGTGAATTCTGAAGACTTCACCCATACCCTCTCTCCTATCTGAGACTTAGACCCCCATCTGCGTCGTTTTTTTTTAATGCTGTTATCGCATTCTGAGATCTCTGAATCTGTACGACGTTTCCTGCAACATTTTTTCATAGTCCATTGCAAATTCGATACTACCCGGTGCTGAGCGCATCGGCTCCCACCTTTTTTCACAAAGGCGAAATCCCTCCGGCCCCTCATGCGGGAGTAAAAGAAATAAAAGAGAGTCTCAGGGACAACGTCGAAATAGTCTCGCAAGCCGCCTAAATGGATGCCGTTACATTGTCCTCACTGCTCTATCTGGGTGCGCCAGCCGTACCTCTCGCGGTCCCTTGCGACATGACAGGTTCTCGCGAGGCACAACGTACCTTCCCTAAGGGGATATCACTACCCTTAGGAACGTATCCCCACCGAGAAACTAACCAACATGCTAAAGCTTTTGCATGCAGCCGTAGAGGTAGGCCAGTCAAGGGTGTTTACTCGTTCTCTATAGTATAGGCACGCATGGCTAAAACGTCGTTTCAACCCGAACACCGCTTGCCCCCTAGGGCGCATATCTCCTAAGTACAAAGCGAACGGTGGTCAACGAGGACAATCTCAACCAAGCGTGAAACCCCAAACGATCCTAGTCTCTTACTCGTATAAATCGAAGTCATTATTATGGTAAGATCCAAATACAAATGATAAGTTCAAAAGATTAAAGCATAAAACTGACCAACTTGGGTCAAAGTCGAAAGAATTAGAGTGTTATGATCGTCGAGTCGACAAGATTGCCGACCTCAAATGGTTTTGACTTGATGAAATGATTCATAATATGCCAAAGTTTCCTCTTCCAATTCCGTACATAATCCATAGATTTAACTACCACCCTTTTTGTGGAGGGCGACTTAAACCATTCTTGCGTGACAACGTTTTATGGGTCATAGCAAACTCTCTCCTTCATCTACTTTGTTGGCCAATCACTCATTGCTTTGAGTAAGATAAGCAACAAGAATAGTCGTCGCATCCGAAGAGGATTAGCGGTAATGATCCATGGTGGAATATCGCCTGCCATCGCACGATTCCACTGCTGTCATGTGG